TTTATTGAGTATAACATGAATACGTTCACGTGCTTTAAATATATCATTTGTTAATTTTTCAACGGCATATTCTGTATAACGATCAACTTCTGCAATTAGCTAAAAAAACGAAGATTTTTAATTATTATTATTGAATCAAAAACAAAATAAACATACGTCAGGTAATTTTGATAATCGACATTGTTTAGTTTTAGTTACTGTTAAAACTTTTTCATTTGGAATTAATGATTGATGTTTTCGTATAAGTGTTGTTAATTGTTTATGTGATTGTTCAAAACAAGCTTCTGCTTTTTGTACTTGTTCAGTGATCTATTTTATAAGAAAAAATAACAAAAGACAAGAAAAAGAAAATAATATTACTTGAGTAAATTCTTTATCAACAAGTTCTAAAGCTTCTTTTGTTAGAGTATATTGATCAATTTTAGTTGGTCCAAGTGTTAATAATCGATTAATCATTGTTTCAATTATTGGTCGTTTCCATCCATAAACTTCTTCAAATTCATGTAATGTTCGCATTATTTCTGTTAAATGAGCAATACGTTTTGCCTTAAAAAAAAAAGAATGTTTTTAATTTTTGTAAATAATATCTTAGATAGAATAAATAAATTACTTTTTCTTCACGTAATTCAATAATATGTTCTGATAAAAGACTCATTTGTGTACTTAATTGTTTTGAATTAAAATTTTGATTATCAATTTGTAATGAATGTTCATTTAATTCATTACATAATTGTTTTTCTTCACGTCGAATATCTATTTCACGTTCAAGTAATTTTTCATGTTCATTTTTTAATTTTTTATATTCATCAACATATGTACGTAATGCTAGAAGAACAGGTAAAGTATTACCATATTGTGGACAAGTTTTATCTGGATATAACTCATGATAAAGTGATTCATAATGAGTACGAATTGGTGCAAGTTCAGCACGTTTACGTTCTAATAATGCATCATCTTCAGCCATCATTTCAGCAACCATTTTCTAAATAATAAATCATGTCTTATTTCTTGTAAAAAAAAAAAACATTTTTTTTTAAATTTTTTTACTTGAAGTTCACGTTTCACTTCGTCAATAAGTAAACTTGGATCATCACCAGCATCAAGGCACATTTCAATAATAGATTTAATATTTTGTGAATAAACTTCATTGACAACATCACCAGGTTGACGAATTGATATTGGAGACATTCTTGTAAATCAAATTAAATTCAATTGTAAAAATATTCTTCACAACCAACAAATAAGATTTTTGATTGATTGAGCAAATTAAACAATCAATTTGGCATATATATTATAATTGGTTGATTGAACAAAGAGCTTAATTTTTAATTAAAGAATAATTTGTTTCGTTCTGTCTTATCTATTTATTTAATTAATTATTTATTATTGATATTAAAACAAAATTTCCAATAATGCCACTTATCTAAGTTCTTTTAAAAACAAAAATAGAAATAGACTTTCAGTCGTAGATGTCGCTTGACTTATCGGTCTTGCTACGTAGGAATAGCTTTCTACTAAAAGGATGTGCAATACTTTTGTAATTACTAAATAGTGGATTACCAGCAGATGATCAATCGATACCATTTCTCTCAAAATATTCTCGCTTTGCGGTAGTTGGTTTCACTGTTTCAAATGAACAGTGATGTCAATATGCACTAAATATATTGAGTCAGGGACGTCGGAAATCAATAAACTGAATCTGCATATTTCTATTATCTGTAGTAAAAAAAAAAACATTTTCCAATTTAAGAATTCGGAAATTGATGAGCTATTCATATATTATTATGTATAAATCTTCTTCCTCTTGTTGTTGTAGGTAGTTGATAGTGTTCAATTCAATTTTTTAGTTTTATTTCACAAATAAATCAGTTTTTCAATTCTTATACTCTCTATGTAGTAATGAAAATACAGTAAAACATAAAATACTGTTCATTGTTATTTAAGACTGTTCATATTAATAATAAACTACAATATGATCTATAAAATAAATGAATATTATAATATTAATTATCAATTGAAAATTGTTATAGAAACATGGTGATATATTTTTAATAGTCATTGTTGTTGTCATCAATCTACTTGAAGATATTTCTAACGATTTGTGTGTGATATATTTCAAACTTTTTGTTGTTGATCCTATTGAAGATAAAGAGCAAAAAAACTCAACAAATCTTTCTTTTTTGGTTATGTCGTCTTACGTTCTTTTAATTGTAAAGTATCTCGACCTATTCCATGTACATTCTCTGCTTCGCATATAATTATCTGTTCAATATCATATTCTTTTTCCTAGAAGAAATAAAAAAATTACTGTTAATTTTATTCTTTTCTAACAATCTTGATATGATTGATTTATTAATACCAGTATAAAAATAGACTGTTGAGCAATACATGATTGATTGATCTTTGTTTGCTGAATACTATCATTACGACCTTTTCGTGTATTCCACCACCAATGTATGCGATGTGGCAATGGATGAGCACATATTATACACATTAATTTCTGTCTTATGGACATCATCAATTTGACAGTTGGTTTATCTAGTTCAAAAAAAAAAAAAAAAAAGAAATAATGTTCTGTTAGTTTATCAACTATTTTTAATCAGAATATATATACACATAATATCAATAATATATTCTCGTTTTTCATGTCGATCAAGTGTTGAACAAATAATTTTTTGAAAACGATTATCATTTCGTTGTAAATTATTCAATACTAATTCTGTTGTATATTGTTTACCTGTAAATCAAATATATGAGAAGGAAAATAAGAAATTAAAATGAAAAAAAAAAAAAAAATTTACTCACGAACAGCTCCTCCTTGATGATTTTCTTCAATAATCCACATTCCGTTTTCACTACATTGTAACGTAATATTAGAACCTTCGAGTGCATTTAAATGAATAGTTGATGCTAATAATAAAAAAAAGAAAATAAAATGTTTTTTTTTTTCGAAAAAAAACTAGAGTTACACTAAAACGTACAATTAATAACAATTAAATGAACAATATAATTAATTATTTGATCAGTTCGACATTCATATTGACCTTCATCTGATAATTCAATTAATTTAATAGCTAACTCGAAAGAATGTGGATTTTTTATCATAAAACGAGGATTATTGGAAATTAATATCCCATTCATACCTAATAATTCACCTGAATCAGATTTAAATAAAATTGTCTATTTAGAAATAAAACAAAAATGTCAAAGGATATATTAACTTAGGAAACAAACAAAGATATCCTTACTGCAACATCATCAGTTGATGATGGTACTGTTGGAAAACATGGTGGTAATACCATTGTTGATCCTATTTGCTGTTCAAGTTTATAACTGTTGATTGTTGCTTTGATTTCAATAAATAAAATAAAGAAATAAATAATACCAAAGATATAATCATTGTAGATCATCATTCTACATAATCAAATAATGATGAAATTGTTTCTGATTCTTTATCTATTTTACAACGAGAGAAAATCGATCATTATTTATCATTAGGTAAGAATCAATTAGAACAAAGGAAAAATAAGATGAGATAACTACATCCATATAGCACATTAATTTTTGTCAATAGAAAAATAGATAAACGCAATATAAGCAATACACAAAGTAACATATTTTCTATTTAGTTCATTGTTATTCGTGAGCTAATACTTATGTGTCAACATCGTGTTTTTTATTACCTCCGATAATAATGTTGAGTGCGAAGATATTCTAAGTAATAATAACAAAATTATTTTATTTACTTTTCTACTTTATGTATCCATCATCTTTGTAGAAAATGACAACAGCTAAATAATTCATAAGATTATTTATAAATGAATGTAATAATGAGAAGACGAAGGTTCACTACTATAAAAACCATGAACGAATGTTATTCGATATTTTTAATGATACGTTGTCATAGAAAAGAAAACACTAAGGAGACAACTTTTTTTTTTGTACATACCATTGTAACAATCATTGAATTATACAATGTCAAGAAATACTAATTATATGTTAGAACTTATTCGGTTATATGATTATTCTCATTTCTATAATGCTTATTCTTTATTTTCCAGACTGGAGAATCAATTGATAGGAAAAATAGGAAGTGTTATCTTCTGTTGATATTATCTATTTGTTGGTTATTAGATGATGATATAACTAAATCATTCATTCAAGGAGATCTATTTAAAACAAATCAGTCATGGTAATCGATTTGATAAATCATTTTCTTTTATCATGCTTAGATGATTTAACTCTTTTGTTTTTTTTTTTCTTGTTTTAAAAATTTGGTTTTTATGCCAAAATATGTGCACTACATTCTTCAATCTTGAATAGAAATTTTTTGAATTTTGAATTTTAGTTGAATGATCCATTATTCTCACAAGTTTCTGAAAATTCATTTGAAAATAATAATAAGAAGAAGAAGAATTGTTTCATATTCATAGTCTTTCTCAAATGTTTTTCATTGTAGTTGAGTATATGTTTTCCTCTTCATCACAAGCAATAAGTAATGACGTCGTAGAAAAACTAGTATAAATAAATAACCCTGACGTAGAATAAATAAGTAATAATAATATACTTCCGAATGACTAAGGTGAAATGTGTGTTGTGACTGAATATGAGTCATGATTAAATAATATTGACATATATATACATCTTGTTTTTCAATATAGGAATGAATCATCTTCAGCAAATACTCATAGGATGTAACTGTAAAATCAATAAATAGTTTATGATTAATAAATAGATCATTTGATTTCTTTCGCAACATCATGTAATCTATTATTATTAAATTGTTTTTAAAGATATTCTGTGTTCATTCTTTTTATATCTTATATCATTATTGTTTATTTGTACGACTTAAAGACGATGATTATATAAAGCAATGATGTGTAACGTGTGCACGTGTAAAATACGCCATGAAGGTAAATAGAAGAGTAAAAGAAAAAGCCTTCCATTCTCAGTTTTCTACAAGGTAGTATCGGTACGGTGTGATAAAGAAAAAAAAAATAATGGTAGACAATTTAGCTGATGTTATGCATCGTGAATTGTATTTAACTAATAGTGATGCTACTAACGTCAATAATAATAATATCAGTAGCAATCGCTCATTACAACCACATGCACTTTCAAGGAAAATATCTGATCATAAAAATAATAATAACAATAACAATAACAATAGTCAGCATCAACATGCACATCAACAATCAATACAATCTCCTCCAATAATTACAACAACTGATTATAGTTATCCATCATCTTTGAGTGTAATGCCTGCTTTACATAAATTATCTCATCATCAAAGTTTAAATTCAGGATATGATACAGATGGAGCAGTAGCCTCATCTAAATCTATATCAAAACGTCATCATAAAATTAGCAATGGTTATGAACATTTCGTTTCACCAAGATTACCTCCTAGACAATCTAGAGCACCATCATCACAACAATTACCAACTCTTGGACTTCGAAAAAGTTTACCACAACAAAATTTCCTTACAGTCAATCCATCTCTTAATATGGCACAGAATTATGACGATAGAGATGACGAATTCAATCATGAAAATGATGCAGATCATCGTCATGTTCGTTTTAACCTACATACCCATCGCTCATCTTCTCCTGGTAAAGCTCATGGTGCACATGGTACTCATTCACCTACAATATCACGTCATGATGGAGTACTTGCTAATACAAGTTCAGGACGACCATTACGATTTATATTTATGCGCCATAGTGAACGAGCTAATCAAGCATTGGGATCTGATTGGTTCATTAGAGCATTTCGAACAGGTACTTATAAAGCATATGATCAAAATTTGCCAATCATTTTACCAAAAAGACGTTTTGATCAAGCATACGAATTTGATGCACCACTAACAGGTTTACAAATTGACTTTCTTTTTGTATATATTCCATAAAAATTTATAATGTATTTTAGTTCGTGGTTTAAAAAATGCTCGTGAAACTGGACGTGCTATGGTGAATAGTAATCTAACAGTTGATGTATGTCTTTCATCAAGTGCTCTTCGTTGTATTCAAACATGTGAACGAATTTTATCTGGTTCGTCAAAATATCAATAAGGTTTTCTTTTATTTGTTTTTTATATTCTAACTATTTCATATAGGCATGAACCGTCGTGAAGAAATTCCAATTCGTATTGAACCCGGTTTATTTGAATGTCCTCATCTCAATCATAAAATAGTCGAGAGTTTTATGACCAAAAAAGAATTACTGGATAATGGATATAATATTAAAGTTGAATATAAACCATTAATTCCAAAAATAGATGTACCTGAATCATTAGAGGAATATTTTCATCGATGCTTTACAGTTATGCATGGTATTATTAATCGATATGCTAGTTATGGTGGTACTATACTTATTGTTACACATGCACCAGGTTTATTAGCTTTAACAGATGCTGTTAGAGGCATACGAACAAATCAGGAAAATTTCTATCGTACTGTAGCTGGATATCCACCATTAGCTGTTTATATAACTGAATTCGATGGAAAAAAATGGAAACATTCTGAACAACCATTTTCTATTCCTATTTTTGAAAAATAACATTTCATGGATTATAATCAAATTTTATATGCATATGTTACTGTCGAATCTAAGATCCGTGTTTGAACTAGTCCGAACCTGAATCGAGTAAAAGTATGATATTAAAACATAATTTAGTCCTGAAACCAATGTTGGATTCCGGACACAGTTTTATGATGAATTAAGACACGTTAATGATGCTTCTATTTGCATATCTGGTTGATTATGAGAGTTTAATTTAAATAGTGATGAAAAAATTTCTATTAATTTCTAATTCTAAATTTTGAACCGAATGTTGTAAAAGTAAATACCATCCATTTGTTGTAGCTTATGAATAAAAAGTTCTGAATTCAGCATTGATTTTAGGATCAAAAAATGAATTTTGATTTCAAATTTTTCTAAATTTGGACTTATTCAGACTCGGATCTTAGATTGAACATTGAAATATATATTTATGTACTTACTTTTATGAATTTAATAAAGAAAAAACAATCCAGATTGCATTCTATTCTTGATCTCAACTCATATAATGTTCACAAAATTAATCTTTTATTTATTTATTTATTATTTTTTTAATTGATTTGTTATTCTTTTGTTCTAATGATGATGATATCCTTGTTTTATTATGATTTATAGTTGTTGATAAGTTTGATTTTTTATTGTTAGATGGATTAAATCTAGTCGAAGACATGTTTGATAATGCGGTAAGATTCAATGATTTTGGTAATGAATGTCGATTGATTGGTAATTTCATTTCTTTTCCATAAAGTTTACAATGACTAAAATAGGCGAACCATGTTGATATGGAAGTAAAACCATCTAGTGTTATTGATGAAAATAAAACTTTGTGAATAGGTCTATCCTAAGTTAAAAAAATATAAAAAAAAAAACAAAACAAATTAGAAATAAATTTTTAGCATTTTTCTTGTTTTTCATTTCTTTTAATTATTATTTACTTGTATCATAAAAAGATCCAATGCTTGTTCAAGTTGATTAATATTTCTTTTTTTTCGTTTATCTGATTTAGTAAAAACAATAAGTAACGGTTTATTTATTAAACTTTCATCAGTAAGTAAATCAAAAAGTGCTTGTTTTGCATCATTTAAACAATTGAAATCAATACTATCTACAGTAAATAAAATAAGATCACAATTATTAAATAAATGAGGCCAAATATGTCGTTGATGTTTACAACCACCACAATCAAATACAAGTAAATTAATATTTGTTTGCATATTTAAATGAACATTTACAGCTATAACACCATGTGTTGATATATATTTAAAATTTTTAGATATTTTATTTGAAGTTTTTAAACATTGTACAAGTGATGTTTTACCAGAATTTTCAAGACCAAAAACTGCTACACGTAAAATATCTTTTTCAGTTGACGCATATGAATAACAACCACAGCCCATGCATACTTATCGGAAAAATAGTTTATACTTATTACTTATAGTTAATTTAACCTTTTTCAAATGAAAACATCATAATTTAAAATAAATTCTTTAACTTTTCAATAGAAAGAATTAAGCGGCGGCAAGAAAAGAAAGACAGAAAAAAAAAGCGCCTTTATTTCTTTAAATTCTTTTTATTTCGTAGTTATAGTACTCTAACTATCAACAAGTACTCTTTTGTGTATTTTGAAAATATCATTCATATCTTCTAAACGATTTGTTTAGTTAATTTTTAAACTTTCATGCTAAATACAATCAGTTCAATTGGAAACATCCAACGAAAAAATCTATCACAAACATTATTTCAAAATTCTCGACATCAATTGTCTATAGAACATTCTAAAACTGGATACGTTGCTTTTACAAACAAGAATCTATCACTTCTTTCTGTCGATCATCATTCAATACAATCTAATAGTGATCATGCTTTAGATGATAATCATGATGATAATGATCAAACAAGAAGAACATTGAATTCGAGTAGTACACTAAGTCATGTTACAGTAAATGATGATTATCGTAGAACAACAAATAATGAACGTCAATGTTCATTGACACAAATGTTGCTTGCATATGTACAACAAGATATAGAAATATTGACAAGTCTTACACCAACACGCTCAAATAGTAATCTTAATAATATATTAAATGTACTTGAACTTCATTTTAATACGTATGCTGATGATAAACGACAAATATATTTTGAAGGTATCTTTCAAATTCTACATGATTTTAAAGAACCAATAACTGAATTAATATTAATTGAAACGATGCAATTATTACAGGTGTAAACATAAAAGACTGTCATGTTGAATAGAATTGATTGCAGTTGATAGTTTTTCTTTGTTCTAGATTGATCCTCTTGCTTCATGTAATTTTGAAAGTTTTATTCTTATTTTATGTCATTTACCTCCTATTAAACAAGATCCTAATAATTTTTTCATTACATTCAATGAACTTGACTATAATAAAGATTTCTATATAACTTTTGAAGATATTCAATATGTATTACCATATCTGACATCTCGTTTTGACCCAGAAATTATTCGTACAGCAATTCATACCATAGATATTGATCATGATAATGATCGTTTATCATACTTTGATTTTGTCACGAGTCTTCTATTATTACAAGAGTGCGAATTAAGTATGAAAACAAAAACAAATACAACAACAACTAATGGAAGTTTCCGTTTCACTATTGAACAGAAAAAAGAATTAAAAAACAGTTTAGTTAATGTGAAAAGAACAGAATCGAATCATGAATAAATAAAATACTAAGGTCGACTGTACCGATTAAGTGTTTTTTTATGTTTGTCACTGTTTTAAAAAAACAAATGCTTTATTAACAATAAAAATATTTCGAACTCAATAATGCAAGAAGTAATCAAAAGAAATATGTCTCAACTACATATTTTACTAGTACTATTGTTTCAAGCACAAAACTATTGGATGCAAATAGTATCAAGTAAAAATGATTTATATAAATCGAAAATTGCATTATTAAAAATGATCTCATTTTTTTTCCAATTTAGATGCAACAGTACCTTGTTCTATTCCATCTTTTTATTCATCAGCAATTATTGTTGCGGGTGGAAGTAGTTCCGGTTCTCAACCTCAACAATTAAGTTTACCTTATGGATTATATGTTGGTTTGAATGATTCAGTTTATGTTGCTGATGTTGGAAATGATCGAATTCAATTGTGGTTATCAAGTGCTGTTCAAGGTATTACTGTAGCTGGTGGACAAGGTTATGGTTCAAATGCTACACAATTAGATGGTGCTCGAGAAGTCTATGTAGATTCAGCTAACAATTTAATCGTCTTAGATACCGGAAATCGACGTATACAACAATATAATCTATTGTCTGGTTCAACAATTAGTACAACTATTATGTCAAATTTACCATTGAGTTGTCGAAATATGTTTGTTGAACCGATAACAGGTACAATTTATTTATCAGATATGTACAATCATAATGTTCTTCGTATGCCAAATGGAACAATCCTAGCTGGAGGCAATGGATTTGGGTCACAACCAAATCAATTATATTATCCAGCAGGTCTCTTTGTGACGCCGATAGAAACAATCTATGTTGCTGATTCATTCAACGATCGAGTGCAAATGTCTAGGACAATAAATAATTTACATACAATATTTAATTTTATGTGTTTTTTAGGTGGATATCTGGTGCAAGTGTTGGTATTACTGTTGCTGGTGGAAATGGTCGTGGTTCTGCAGCTAATCAGTTAAATTCACCTATGCATGTCATTTACATGGCATCAACTGGTAACTTAATTGTAACTGATAGTGGAAATGGACGTATTCAAATTTGGGCACCCCATGCTACATGTGGTATTACAGTTGTTAGTAATCAATTTATGTATCCAATGTCTAGTGCATTGGATTTAATGGGACAAAACTTATACGTACTTGATCAAGTACGTGGCCAAGTCAAACGATTTAATCTTCTTTCAAGCAATAACTTATGTAGTAAGCAGAGCTGCCACCTCTTCTGCTTTTAGCAGAAAAATTCTGCTTTTTGAAAATTTTTCTGTCTTTTTTCTGTGGTTTCTGCTTTTTGAGAATTTTTCTGCTTTTTTAGATACTGCGAAATTTATATTTTTAAAATATTTTTCATCTCACAGATCATTTTTTACGATTATAAAAAAATCCTTATCAATAGTTACTAACCCATGTTCTCAAAATCGTCTGACTTTTGACGATTCTCCGCCATTTAAAAAAAACACCAATTAATCGCTAGCATTTGGTGATTATATTGTCGAAGTTTAGCATAAATGGCGATTTTTCGGTGAAAATTAGCAAAAATCGACAGTTTTTTACAATTTACCGCGATATAATCTCACAATTAATCGGGCTAGCATATCGCAATACAATCGGCGGTTTTGATTTGGCTGTTGACACAGATAGTCTATATATGGTCGATCTATTCTATCAAAGTCATATGGGTTTTTCATTTTCTGTGTTTTTGTTGCAAGGATTCAAGAAAAATCGCCAATTTTTACGATTTATCGCAATATAATCTCTCGATTAATCGCTAACATATCGCGATAAAATCATCGATTTTGTGACGATTTCGATGACATGGGAATGTTTTTGTTCTATTATAATTCTTTCAATGTTACAAAAATGATCTTTATTTTTGTTAGTTCCGACTAGTTATGGATGTTTATATACTCTTTCACTTAATCACCAAATTTTAGGAAGCTGGTATGCTTTCATATTCTCTACTTTGTAGCAACCCTTATGTGGAATCAGCATTCTGAAAATTGAAACTTTTTTAAATGATAAAAGGAACTGTATAGGAACAGAACTAATATCAGCTTTATTAGCAATACTTTTAAATTCATTCTTATCATGTATTGAAACACATAAATATTGATTAGGTAATCAAGATTTATTAAAATCTATTAAATGTGATGAAAAATATACGTTCAAAAGAAACTTTGTTGCATAATCCTGTTTATTTGTTAATTAATTGTTTTTCTTGATTCTGTACAATAATGATCAACATTTGATGTGAAAGCACTTAATTAGTATACTGGGACAAAGTTTCAAAACAGCTTTATATCACAGAAAATGCTTTCTGTCTTTTTATTCTGCTTTTCTATGATAAAATTTCTGTCATTTTCTGCTTTTTATAAATGATTTTCTGCTTTTTGGACTTCAAAAGGTGGCAGCACTGGTAGTAAGTATTTTATGAGAAATAGTTATTTTTTTTTATGGATTTCGACTATTATTAGTTCCTGCTAATTGCTCTATCATTGCACCATCAATAACAACAACAGCCACTGCACCTACTACGGTAGTGTCTAGCACATCTTCTCCAGTATCAGGAAATAAGACCTTAACAACGGAACAAGTACGATTAAGAAAAATTAATGAGTTATTGTAATTGTAAATGTTATCACTCATTTTCAGGTGGATGGAATAATTCCATCGTGGGGTATTGTAGTACTTACTGTTGGTACTGTAGCATTAGTTGTCATTGTATCATTCATATATGTTCTTAAGACAGTGATCACACCGCAGTAAGATGATCAATTACTAACATATTTTTTGTTTCTTATTTCTTTATAGAACGAAAGTCGAACCATTTGTTTAACCCAAGTGTCTCTCTTTCTATCCAATAATATTCTAACTTCATGTCTTCTAAGAAATCAATATTAATTTCAAAAATTAAAAAGATGAATGTTTACATAGTTATGTGATCGTATTTTGAATAAAAATGAATGCATCAATTCATTGTAGAATTTATATTTAAATGAACTCTTGATATAAAACCCATAATAGAATGGAAAATAAGACTACATTTTCTCGTTTTTAAAAAGAATTCATACGAAAAAAGCGTGATGATCAAATACATCGTACAAGAAAAATATAAATCCATAAGCGATTCTTATTTTTTAAACTTATTTTTTTCGGCGTAGACAAGTTATAATCACGTATCTTAGTTATTCACGAATACTAAATACTACGATTAATATACTATTTCAGTTGAGAATCTGTATGTTAGACTCATAAGGAGTAGATCTCAAGTATGTCAATAATGAATAGCATATGGAACAAAGGCCACTATGTGATATTTATCTTGTGTTTGAATTGAGACTCATTTATTAAAAACTCAGATATCAAACTATCATTTGTCTTATGATAATAGTAAATAAATCAATATTATGCAAAGAATTCTAAAACACTAATCCTATATTACTATATAAAGTAATAGGGAACCTAACATAGTTTATTGAAAGAACATTTTCATTATTAATATAGATGACATGAAAGATTTCGTCATGAAAAAATTATGAAGCAAAACTATTACGTTTAATTGTTGAATGACATATTATTGATGAAATTTCAATCCGCTGCACTTTCAAAACAGTGTAATACAATGAATACTTTGAGTTGTTTTGCTTGTATCTAGCATTTTGATGTTTTTAATGTTTATCCATAAAAACGACAATAATATAATTTCTTGGCTTTTTATGACAATATTGTTGGAAAATTGAGGTGAAATTTCATGATATATTGACGCATCAGAATAATCAATAACTAGAATTGATGATGGCAATTTAATCTTGTCTATTAGGAATCAAAAACAACGATCTGAAAGAAAAATTTTTTTTTTTTTTTTTTAAAATAACGACTAATTGATAAAGTTTACATGCTTTACCTTTTACCTTCTTGTTGTTCGAGTACTACAATATGTTTATTGATAAGATTAGCCTCTCTATCTTTTTTCGAAATGGGGAACATGTTTAGTTATTCGCTTCATATAATCCAAAACAATAAGTTTTGTTTATGTATTGACAAATTATAGATTCCAACCCTTTAAATTCTTTGCTGTCTGAATCAAATTCAACGTTGAACTCTAAATGTTTCAATTGCTTGTACTATTGGAAATTAGTCATTCTTTTCTTTGCAAATCTTAAAGATATTTCATTGAAAACCACTTTTTTTTTAATGAAAAGTTGAAACAATTTCTTATGCAACAAAATAAATATCTTTTATTGAACTGTAAGTGACGCTTTCAGATTGTGAATCACCTTGATTTAGTAACTCATATGGCAAAATCAGTAATTCATGCTTACAATTTGCTTTATGAGTAGCCGAAGAAGTACAAAAATCACCAGTTTGAGAGCGATAATCGAATACCCTACATGTACAACTTGACCATCAAAACGAGAAATAACAACCGAAGGGTATTCGGACAATTTGTCGTATAGCATATAAGTCTTAAAGTATCTTAAAGGAACATTGAGTCTGGGTGGAAGTGGATGTGTTAGTGAGGTTATGGGTGAGAGTACACAAAAGATCCTCATTCATACCGACACTTACATATTGTAGCCGAATTGTCTGATCATTCATTCGAAACTTCGAAATGACGTGATATTTTCGCGATTTGATAATATTTATTTTCGATAAAAGTGATGATACAAAATTAGTAAACGAATCAGACATCACTTGTTCATATAATATTTTTAGTGTATTATCTCGATCATTGTGAATCTTACAAATACTTTTATTGTTAAAATTAGTGTTGTTGAGAAATCGAAAGATAAATCAAAGTTAAGATGAACAGTGTTGAAATATTATAGCGATGACAAGCCAGCAGAAAACCAAAATTAATGTCAAGTACATTTCTGTTGTTCTCGCCTGCAATTCTACTATGTCTAATCCTCAATGAGATCTGTTATTGATCTTTGATCGTGTTTCAAAGTAAACTCAGTTATATTATTTTCTCTTGAAATTTTATAGAAGTTGTAAACAAGAATAAGAAAAACCTAAACTTCTTTTTGTTTTCTTTCGAGTACAAATAAATTAAAACAAATTTTTTCAGTTGCACATTGAGTAATGTAAACAAATATATTTTTGATGCATTGAGAGAAAACAATTATAAGCTTTTAAAAAGCATTGACAATTATTATAATCCAAAATTTCATCATAAGATTTATTATATGTTTGATCAAAACAACAAAAAATATAAGCTGATAAATAAAATAAAGAAATGAAATGAAAATATGATCTATATACACACAATATGAATATAAATTTTGTTTGTACTGTAAGAAACGACTATAGTAAAGATTTTATTCTTCTGTTTTTTTATCTTCTATATTTTTATTCTCATTTTCTGTTTTATGTTCTTCTTCATGATCTTTTTTTTCAGGTGCATCTTCTTGCTTTGGCCATTTTCCATCAACGAGTGGTTGTATTGGATGTTCTGCTTCATCTAATTGAATATCTTTCATAACTTCAGTTGCTGTAAGATTAGAATCAGCTTCTTCTTCTATTTCTCGACCAAGTTCACCTAATAATTCTTCAAGATCATCAGTTGAAGATCCAATCCATACCATTTCGCAACCAGGAACATCAAGCATTGCTGGTTCAGCTAAGAAATTTATCATAGAAAATATAATGTGAAGAATTATTTTGAATATTTACCTGGTAACCATTGATATGAACCAAATTTTTTTTGAATTTCTTCTGAATATTCAGCTTTTTGAGAATGACTAAGACCAGCAGCAGGTGGACTTTTTTTTTTAGGATTTTTAACAGCAACAGAAAAAGAAGCTTCTTTTGTAATATTAAATACACTTTGAACAGCACCAATATCTGATGGTGATTCAAGTACATAACCAATAACTGTACGACGTTGATCATGTTTAGCCATAACATATTTACCTTTACCAGCAATACGATCAGCTTTAATTGTACGTGTGCCAACTGTCGCTGTTTCATAAGTTTGAGCTTCAAGTTTTTCTTCAAGTTTTTCTATATCATTATCAGCTTTTTCAACAAAAGCCCAATAACGTTCTTTTCCAATAGTTGGTAATTTCTTCTTTCCAATTTTAATTAAACGTATTTTAGATGATGAATCTTTTAGATTTGTTTCATCTTCTTCTGGTATTAATAAAACATGAAATAATTGAACATCATCAAAAGATAAGGCTTCATCAACATTCAATTTTGGTTTGTCTATTTAATAAATTTTCGTTTGAAAACAAAATCTTTTTATTTATAGTACTGATCAAAAATATGAGACTAATGTATTTTTAATCTCTTCTTTGGATGATAATAAACATTGAACTCTAATTCAACTAGTGGTTTAATAAACCTAACATGGAAGTTTCCCGGTCTCAAGAGACTGTGTGATAATTAGTTTCTATGAGTACCATCTTGAAGATCATAAAATCCTGAACGAAACGATGGGCTGCCACGTTTCCTATGACTTTCTCTTAGAAATCTATAAGCATCACGAAAAAAAAAACAAGCGAAATTTTTCATGGCATTTTTAAAGATTACATTCTTTTGTTTTCTTATGATGTGTATAGTTTTTTTCAGTGAATGTTATGGGAAATATGGTCACCATTCATTTTATTTAGGATTTTGCTTCGTTTAAGATGAGACTCTTGAAAACGAATTTTCCCACAATCTTCATGTTTGATTTTTGTGAGAAACCGTCTTCTCATAATCTATATATCAAATTTCTGTATAGAATACATTTCACACGAAACTTCAGTGGCTATTCAAATTACTATTTGTATTTTAGGCAAATACTTGGTCTTTTAGAAAAAAAAATAAAAAAACTATATTGGTCTTATATTTTTGACCAGTATTATATATTAAAGAAGAAGACTTACACATAAATACAATATCTCCTTTTTCAAGAAATTCATCATCATTTTTTATTTCATGATGATTATTTGTTAGTTCTTTTTGTTTTGTATCAAGCTTTTCTTCTAATGTTTTATCAGTTTTCGCTTCTTTAATGGATTCAAAATCTTCGACTGAAATATCAAATCATTATAAAAAAAAATTAATTATTAATATATTTACTTGAATGCTGTCGTTTAATACCACCACGCATACTACTTATTTGTTCATTATCCGATGACATGGTATTAATGTAAAAAGAAAAATACAAAGTCAATATGATATTTTGAGATACTTGATTTGAGAACAAGGGCAATGTTTAATAATTGTTAATAACGATTTATTCTTTTTTCAGGTCTTTAAGTACGTTTTTCCTCATTTCTATTTTCGACCGCCAGGAATATTTGAATAGTTCTGTATTTTTTAAATTTACCAATAATATTTAAAGATATACTGAATACATCTTATTAAAAAAAAAAAAAGAAAAAAGTTTTCTTTGTACAAAATATAGGCTTTTGCGGATGTTGTTTTGTCTACAGATGTCAGATAAAGAACAAAAATCATTGGACTTTGTAACTATTCAATGGGAAATTTTTGACACATGATAGTTGAGTCTTTCAAGAAGAAAAAAAAGTAAAGGAAAATGTTTCCTAAAAAACCACCAACAGATATAAATAAAAATGACTTTTTACATAATTTGGATGAAGCTCGTGAAGCACGACGTCGTGAAAAACAGATGCAACAAGCTGCTATTATCATTCAAAAAACAGTGCGAGGTTATCTGATCAGAAAAAAATATCGAGATTATCGGAAGTAATTATTTTATTTAGATTTTTCTCTTATTTTCTCTTTAAATTAAGAAATGAACTTAAACAAATATTTCTTGGTTTTACTGATCCAAATCCACAAAAATATCCATCTTTGCAACTTGGTAATTGTTTTTTGTTG